TCGTTTTTCTGCATGTGTTGAATACTCTTGCGCGTTGCCCTCCACCTCGTGGTTCGTGCACTCCTAAAGCCAAGCTGCGCGAGCCTAAATGCTCGAGCCTGAAGCCACAACCAGAGTTGTGCTCAGGGCTAAGGCGGCTGCTGACGCTGGCCCTGCTTGACCTGATCAGGCAGGCGCTGCAGTGCAGTACGCTACGCCGAGCCGCGCTGAGCCGAGCTGGGCAAGCTGAGCCAGGACACTGCTGCCCGCAAGTGAAACACGAAGAGGGCCAATTCCGACAGTGTCTGCACGAGCGCAAGTAGGACCGCGCGCACAGACGGGAGGCAGCGGCACGGGCGCACGCCAGATCGCGTCAGTCAGCGGCGGCCTTCTCCACCCCACTCCCCGCTCCTACTCCTCCGCATCCCGCCCTCAATCTCCACACCCTTCCATCTCCCTCCTCCCCCGCTTCTCGTCCCGCTGGCTGCCCCCCCCCCTCTCCCCCCCCCCATCCGCCAACCCAGACCTCCGACGTTTGCGGTGTCAATTTCCCATGCGTGGGATTCTCGAGCTCTCGGCCCTGCGGTCGGGAACTTTTGCTTCGTGTGTCGCGGCAGCGGCCCCAGCGACACGCTATCTGGGGCAACTATCTTCGCTTCGCGCTCCGCGAAGCGCGATTCTCTTCGCGCCGTCGTGACGCGCCCCTCCCCCCCAGGACAGGAGGAGGAGGAGGAGGAGGAGGAGGAGGAGGAGGAGGGGAGGAGGAGGAGAGGAGGAGGAGGAGGAGGAGGAGGAGGAGGAGGGGGGAGGGGGAGGGGGAGGGGGGGGGAGGGGGAGGAGGAGGAGGGGGAGGAGGAGGAGGAGGAGGAGGAGAGGAGGAGGAGGAGGAGGAGGGAGGAGGAGGAGGCGTCAGCGGCCCGAGCCTTTCCCAGCCCCCCCCCTCCGCACGCGGAGCTCGGGCGACGCGCTGCCCGCTCGCGGAGAGCAGCCCGGGACCACTACGAGGGACCACTACGAGGGCCAATTCGGACCCTCGTAGTGGTCCCGGGCTGCTCTCCGCGAGCGGGCAGCGCGTCGCCCCGAGCTCCGCGTGCGGAGGGGGGGGGCTGGGAAAGGCTCGGGCCGCTGACGCCTCCTCTCGCTCCTCCTCCTCTCCTCCTCCTCCTCCTCCTCCTCCTCCTCCTCCTCCTCCTCCCCTCCCCCTCCCCCTCCCCCTCCCCCTCCCCTCTCCCCTCCTCCTCCTCCTCCTCCTCCTCCCTCCTCCTCCTCCTCTCCTCCTCCTCCTCCTCCTCCTCCTCCTCCTCCTCCTCCTCCTCCTCCCTCCTCCTCCTGCAGGCGGATCTTGGGCGACACCTGAAGGGTACTCGAACCGTGCCCCCAAAGATTCGAGCACGGTCCAGACATCGTCCCCAGACTACTCTCTGCTGTTCTTGACGGTTCCTCCTTCAGAGGGACATGCCCGAGGCAACGCTTGGGGGCTGGGAGGTAGTTGCGCGGCGGGTCGCGCGGAGCCGCGGTGGGGCCAGACCTGGCGGCGCGACGCGCTGAGTCAGAGCGCCCGGCCGCAACGCCGCGCCGCTTCGGGCGAGGGTGGGACCCTGGATGCCGAGCGGCACCTGTGGTGAGGGTTTTTTATGTTTTATGTTTTGTTGAAAAATTAAAAAAAAAAAAAAAAAAAAAAAAACAACTCTGCGGGCACCCACGAGGGGGCGCGTGCTTGCGCATCAATTCTTGGCGCCGCCGCCCGACGCAGCTCAAACGGAGCCGCGCGGCAGGCCCCCGATCAGCCGAGGAGCGAGGCGATCTTCAGCTCGCACCTCGCCTCCGCGCCGACTGGGGGGCCACGGTCGATCAGGAATCCGGGGTCTGGAAGCCAGTGGGAAGCCAACCGTGGATTGGCCATGGATATCACCGCCGCCCTCATCAGATAAGGAACCCTCCAGGGTCTGCAGCCTCCTGGGAACGTTTCTTAACGCACGCCCCCACCGTGCTGACCTGGAGGTGTGCTCCTAATGTTCGCTGTAGTGGCGGGAGGGAGTTTGGCCCCTCCCCCATCTGGGAGGAGGAGGAGGAGGAGGAGGAGGAGGAGGAGGAGGAGGAAAGGAGGAAGAGAGAGGAGGTGGAGGAGGAGGGAGGAGGAGGAGGAGGAGGAGGAGGAGGAGGAGGAGGAGGAGGAGGAGGAGGGAGGAGGAGGAGTAAGGAGGACAAGAGAGGGAGGAGGGATGGGAGGAAGGAGGAGGAGGAGGAGGAGGAGTGGAAGGAAGGAGGAGGAGGAGGAGGAGGAGAGAGCAGGAGGAGGGTGGAGGAGGGAGGGGAGGAGGAGGAGGAGGAGGAGCAGCAGCAGCAGGAGTAGGAGGAGGAGATTCCCGCCCTCCGCGGCCGCCCTCCTCCCCCACCCCTCCTGCAGGGCTGGACCTGCACGTTTCGTTTTTATCGTTTCGTGCTCTTTCTGTGTCCCTCGTTTTGCTCTGCCTGCTCTCCCGTACCCCCCGAACCCCGCCACGACGAACAACAACACGCAGCCCAAGTCCAGCAAAACAGCGAGGAGGAGGAGGAGGAGGAGGAGGAGGAGGAGGAGGAGGGAGGAGGAGGAGGAGGAGGAGGAAGGAGGAGGGAGGGAGGAGGAGGAGGAGAGAGGAGGAGGAGGAGGAGGAGAGCCCCCCGCCACAGCGAGCAGCAAAACCCAGCCCAGATCCAGCAGGGCAGCGTTCAGGTCCAGCCCTGCCCCCCTCCCCCCTTCCCGCCCCTCGTGCAGTCGGACAATCAGAGGGACAGTCCGCGCCGCGTCGCAGCCCGACCCACTGGAACGCGCGAGCGGACGGCCGCCGCCGCGCCGCGACGCGGGAGAGCGGAGAGCCGCCTCGCCGCGTGCTGCCCCGGGGGAGCCGCGCGGGGCCAGCCGGGCCGATGCTTCGAGAGGGTGCCAGAGGCCTTCCCTCTCGGGCAGGTGGTTCGGCGGCGAGCGAGGGGGGGGGAAGCGAGAAGGAGGAGGCCCTCTCAGAAGGCCGGGGAAGTCCCCCGGCCTTCTGGCAGGTGTTCGAGGCCTTCCCCGAAGGCACAGAAAGCTTCCGAGAAGGCGCGAGAGGGCTTCTGGGAAGTCCCGCGGCCTGATGAGAAGGCATTCTCCCTCTCACTTCCCCCCCTCGCTCGCCGCCGAGTGGCACTGGGGGGTAACCCACATGGGGGGTGAAGAAAAGAGTCCTGAAGAGGCCCTCTGGGGCCCCTTCAGGAGCTAGCCGGTGCCCAGAAGAGATCCCACAAGGCCCCTTCAGGGCCCTTTTCTGCACCCCCATGTGGTCCATGCCCCTGTGACCACCCGCCCGAGCCCCACGGAGGAGACACTCACGATCCCGTGCCTCAGCCTCTGCACGAAGCATTGCGAGCCCAGCGTGTGCTCCGGTCGGAAAGCGTGGTGCCCGCAATGCCTCCGCCGGGCCCTTCCCAGCGCCCGCCACGATAAACTTAGGTCGGGCCTGTCCCCCTACAGGCGGATTTTGGACAATAAAAAATAGCCCCCCACAAATACTCCCAAATGGTCAACAAATACAAAAAATCGTCCCTAGACGATTTTGTGGCTTTTTTTTTTATATGCTAGAGGGACAGGCCCGACTCAAGGCCAGACCTGCACGACTCGTCAGACATGAGATTTGGCGTTTTTTTGTTGTTCTCGGTGCTTGCGCGATGGGCGCTACTTCGGTGCTGGCATGAGGTCTTCGGCCCAGGCGCGGGGGGTGACCGGGGCCCGGCAGTACCCTCACAGCAATGAAGAACGCGTTTTCTGACAGGTGCCCACCGAACCATCGAGCGCTTCGATGTTGCACAGCGCTTCAGTGTATGCTTGACGAGGCTTGTAGGACACAATGACACCCTTCGAGAGCATGAGGCCCTTCGCCAGCCAAACTGAAGAACATTCGAGGGCACCCTCCCCCAGGATGCACAAGAAAATCCAGAGAGCACGAAGAACTTTAGGGTACTTCGGATTCCAAAATAAAGTGGGGGGGTCACATTTGGGGGGGGGGTCTGACTTGAGATGTCTTGGAGGGTTCGGGGGGGTCTGGGCAAAGGGCCGCCCTTTCATGGATGGTCTGGGGGGGTCTAAGACTTCTCGTCTGGGAGGGTTGTGACCCCCTCCCTTTTATTACGAAATCTGGGGTACGCTCCCCGAGCCGACCTCGATCTTCGACACTCCTCAGAACGTGTCTTAGCGCCAACGTGTGCTTATCCACCGAAGCCCTCCGGCACGACGTGGGCGGCGCAGCGAGGGCCGGCGCGGGCTGTGCGCTGTCGGCGGGGAGGTGAAGTGGTGGGCAATACACACGCACACACACACACACCTACATTTGGGCTGGTGATACAGGCCTCGGACAAAAGTTAGCGAACACTCATGCCACATTCATCTCTGAACGCCTCCCCCTCCCCCCAATGTTCAAAATTGGCGGTGGGTCTGATGAGTTGCACCTCGACCGCAGTCTCCCCCCCGCGTGCCAACTTTGAGTTTGGGGGGCAAGGGGGGGGTCACTAATTGTTTCCCTCTACCGTAAGTCGGGCATGTCCCCCTACAGGCGGATTTTGGACGAAAGCCATACCCCCCCAAAGATTCGAACGATATCCAAAAAGAAACGGAGCATCGTCCCCAGGCCATTTTTTTGACTCTGCCTGAAAATCCCCCCTCTACAGAGGGACAGGCCCGAGTTCAGGCTGGCGAGTGCCCACAGCATCCTCGGCTTCTTCACGACGCCAGGGGCTCTGGGGCTGCACGGGCACGGCACCCAGCAGTGCCTGAGCCACCGAGAGCCCGAGTTCAGGCTGGCGAGTGCCCGAGTTCAGGCTGGCGAGTGCCCGAGTTCAGCCCTAGAGAGGGACAGGCCCGAGTTCAGGCTGGCGAGTGCCCACAGCATCCTCGGCTTCTTCACGAGGCCAGGAGCTCTGGGGCTGCACGGGCACGGCACCCCGCAGTGCCTGAGCCACCGAGAGCCGCGCGCCGGCCCGGCCGGAAGCGGGCCCGGGGAGGGGGGGGCCACGCTGCGTGACCACGCTGACGAAGTCGGTGACCGGGAGGCCGTCGCACACGACCTGCCTCCCTCGTCCTCCTCCCCCCCCCTCATCCTCCTCCTCTCACTCCTCCTTGCCGCTTCCTCCCTCCTCCTCTTTCCTCTTCCTCCCTCTCCTTCCTCCCTCCTTCCTCCTTTCCTCCCTCCTCCTCCTCCCTCTCCTCCTCCCTCCTCTTCCTCTTCTCTTCCGCTTTCCTCCTCCTCCTCCTCATCCTCCTCCTCTTCATCCTCCTCCTCCTCCCTTTTCCTCCTCCTCCTCTTCCTCTTCCCTCTTCCTCTTCCTCTTTCCTCTTCCTTCCTCATCCTCCTCCTCCTCCTCACTCCTCCCTCTTTCTCTCTCCGCTTTCCCTCCTCCTGCCTCCTCCCTCTCCCTCCTCCCCTCCTCCCTTCGCCTCCTCCCTCCTCCCTCCTCCTCCCTCCTCCCTCCTCCCTCCTCCCTTCTCGCCACCCCGGTGCCCGCCCGCCACCGCGGAGCGGGAGCTGGAGGGCGCCGGCCGGGCGCCAGACAGGCTCGATGCGCGCCGCCGGTCGTGCCGCCACGCGCCGACGTACGCATGGAGAGCTGGTCTGGCGCACGGCCGGCGTCGTTTGAAAGGAGGAGGGGAAGCGGGAGCGATGGGTCGAGATCACAGCCGGTCGGGTGAGACCACAACCGGACGGGTGGGATCCCAACCGTCCAAAGCCCCAGGCACGGGCAGATCCCAACCGAGGAGGAAGCTAATAGAGAAAACGCGTGAAAACATTATCATTGCTCTATATTGCAATCTGAAACTTCACTGGGAACCTCATGAGAGAATTTACACGTGAGCTTCAGCGGTTGAGAACTCGCCCGACTCTTACTGGATCGTAGAGAGTTAAATCATAGTAGCAACAGTCGTAGTAGTAGTCGTAGTAGTCGTAGTAGTAGTAGTAGTAGTAGTAGTAGTAGTAGTAGTAGTAGTAGTAGTAGTTGTTCAGTTAGTAGTAGTAGGTTAGTAGTGTTAAAGCTACCGTACAGTCGTAGTTAGTAGTTTTAAGTGTAGTCAGTAGTAGTTAGTAGTAGGAGTAGTAGTTGTTAGGTAGTAGTAGTAGTAGTGTAGTAGTAGTAGTTTAGTAGTAGTTAGTAGTAGTGAGTAGTAGTAGTAGTAGTAGAGTAGTAGGAGTGGAGTTAGGAGTAGTAGTGGTAGTCGTGTAGTAGTAGTAGTAGTTAGTAGTAGTAGTAGTAGTAGTAGGAGTAGTAGGAGTAGGAGTAGGAGTAGTAGTGGTAGTAGTAGTAGTAGTAGTAGTAGTAGTAATAATAACCGTAGTAGCCGTAGTAATGGTAATCGTCGTCGTCGCGGTAGTAGTAATACGAGTCCTTGTCGTGATAGTCGTGGTAGTTGTAGTAGTCGTAGTCGCAGTAGTCGCAGTAATAATGGTAATACTAATAATAGTAGTAGTAGTAGTAGTAGTAGTGGTCGTAGTCGTAGTCGTAGTATTATTCGTAGTAGTAGTAGTAGTAGTAGTAGTAGTAGTAGTAGTAGTAGTAGTAGTAGTCTAGTCGTAGTCGTAGTCGCAGTCGTAGTAGTAGTAGTAGCAGTAGTAGTAGAAGTAGTAGTAGTAGTAGTAGTAGTTGTAGTGGTAGTCGTAGTAGTTAGTAGTAACAGTAACAGTAGTAGTGTAGTAGTTAGTAGTAGTTGTAGTAGTAGTAGTGGTAGTAGTAGTATTGTAGTAGTAGTAGTAGTAGTAGTAGTCGTAGTAGTAGTAGTAGTAGTAGTAGTAGTAGTGGTGGTAGTAGTAGTAGTAGTAGTCGTAGTAGTAGTAGTAGTAGTAGCAGCAGTAGTAGTAATTGTAGTACTCTCATCAGTATTGGTAGTAGTAATGTTTTTAGTACTCGTAGTAGTCGTAGTCATAGTCGTAGTCAGACTAGTAGTAGTAGTAGTAGTAGTAGTAGTAGTAGCAGCAGTAGTTGTACTAGTTGTAACAGTAGTAGTAGTCGTAGTAGTAGTAGTAGTAGTAGTACGTCGTAGTAGTAGGAGTAGTAGTAGTAGTAAAAAGCGAGGTAGTAGTAAGAGTAGTAGTAGTTGTTGTAATAGTAATAGAAATGGTAATTGTCGTCGTCGTGAGAATAGCAAAAGTAGTAGTAGTCGTCGTGGTAGTCGTAATAGCCGTGATACTCGTAGTAGTAGTAGTAGTAGTAGTAGTAGTAGTATTAGTAGTAGTAGTAATAGTAGTAGTAGTCGTCGTAGTAGTAGTAGTGGCAATGGTATGAGAACTCGTAGTAATATTAGAATTAGTAGTCGTAGTATGAATCGTAATAGTAGTAGTCGTAGTAGTAGTAGTAGTAGTAGTAGTAGTAGTAGTAGTAGTAGTAGTAGTAGTAGTAGTAGTAGTAGTAATAGTAGTAATAGTACGAGTGCCAGTAGCAGTCGTAATAGTAGAAGTAGTCGTAGCCGTAGCCGTAGTCGTAGTCGTAGTAGTAAGAGTAGTAGTAGTAGTAGTAGTAGTAGTAGTAGTAGTCGTACTACTAGTGGTAGTAGTAGTAGTAGTAGTAGTAGTAGTAGTAGTAGTAGTAGTAGTAGTATGTCGTAGTAGTAGTAGTAGTAGTAGTAGTAGTAGTAGTAGTAGTAGTAATAGTCGTAATAGTAGTAGTAACCAAATAGTAATAGTGGCAGTCGTCGTAGTAAAAATTGTAGTAATAGTAGTAGTAGTAGTAGTAGCACTCGCAGTGGAAGTAGTAGCAGCAGTAGTAGTAGTAGTAGTAGTCGTCGTCGTAGTAGTGATAGTAGTATTCCTAGGATTCGTGAAAGTAGTAGTAGCAGTAGTAGTAGTAGTAGTCGTAGTAGTCGTAGTAGTGGTAATCGTAAAAATAGTAGTAGTGATAGTAGTAGTAGTAGTAGTAGTAGTAGTAGTAGTAGTAGTAAGTATTAGTAGTAGTATCAGTAGTAGTAGTCGTAGTAGTAGTAGTAGTAGTAGTAGTAGTAGTAGTAGTAATAGTAGTAGTAGGAGTAGTTACAGATGTACTCGTAATAGTAGTAGTAGTAGTAGTCGTTGCAATAGTAGTAGTACTATTACTAGTAGTAGTCGTAGTAGTAGTAGTAGTAGTAGTAGTAGTAGTAGTAGTAGTACCCATAGTAGTAATAGTAAGAACATTAATACTAATAGCATCGAGATTATGACTATTACCAGAAGTAGGAGACGTAGTCGTAGTAGTTGTTGTAGCAGTAATGATACTAAAAGTTGTAGTATTAATAGTAATAGTGGTAGTAGTGGCAGTAGTGGTAGTCGTAGTAGTAGTAGTAGTAGTAGTAGTAGTAGTAGTAGTAGTAGTAGTAGTAGTAGTAGTAGTAGTAGTAGTAGTAGTAGTACTAGTACTAGCAGTCGTACTAGTAGTAGTAGTAGTAGTAGTAGTAGTAGTAGTAGTAGTAGTAGTAGTAGTAGTAGTAGTAGTAGTAGTAGTAGTAGTAGTAGTAGTAGTAGTAGTAGTAGTAGTAGTAGTAGTAGTAGTAGTAGTAGTAGTAGTAGTAGTAATAGCAGTAGTAGTCGCAGTGATAAGGATGCCTTAAGATTCCCCAGGGGGTTCTAAGGATTGTGCCGCTCTGTGCGAAATGTTTCTGCCAGCGTCGCCAACAGGTCAGGATGATCCCGCTGGGCCTAGTTTAGCGTTGATCCTGTGGGTCCTCACGTTCCGAAATGCGCCTGGGCGGACCATGACGGCTGTATGCTATATCCCTCACTCCCTTCCCCTCCTCCTCCTCCTGCGTCCTCCGCCCGTCCTTGCATGCCTACCATGTCGACACACCCCTCGCACGCTTCGTGGCCCCACCGGGAGCTCCACCGAAGGTCCCAGTGGCACCGTCCGCATGCGTCCCCGCCACCAATGTCGGCACACCCTTCACACGCTTCGTGGCCCCCCGCAGGGAGCTCCACCGAAGGTCCCAGTGGCACCGTCCGCATGCGTCCCCGCCACACGTTTCGGCAGAGGGGGGGGGGGCTACTCTCAGGTCGGGCGTGTCCGTCCTCCTACAGGGGGATGTTGGGCGGAAAATTAAGAATAGTCAAAAGAATAATCAAAAAATGCTCGACAATCGGAACAAATCGTCTCCCTACGATTTGTTGACTAGTTTGGGAAATTCCTCCTGTAGAGGGACAGGCCCGACGTAAAAGGCTGCTCCATAAGGTCAGCTGTGTCTCTTCGTGGCCTGCGCCTGTGGAGACCCGAACTCCAGGACAGCTCACAAGCAAGGCGGCGGGAGGACGGGGAGAGACAGCAGGAAGGCGAGGAGGAGCAGGAGGAGGGAGCAGGGAAGGCAGGAGGAGCAGGAGGAGCAGGAGGAGGAGCAGGGAAGGCGGGAGCAGGGGAAGGCGAGGAGGGGCAGGAGCGGCGTGACAGAGACGAGGAGGAGCAGGAGGACGAGGGGGGGATCGAGAGCAGCGGGAGGACGACGAGGACCAGGTGCAGCACGAGGACGAGGTGGGGACGAGCAGGAGAAGGAACAGTAGAAGGCGACCATTCCCGTCCCTCCTCCCTGCCCAATCCTGCTGCCTCCCTCCGTCCCCCTTCCTCCTCCTGTCTCTGCCCCTTCCCCCTACAAGACCCGTATAGGACGTCTATGGAACTTGCACGTGAAGGTTCCATCACGGCTGCGGGGATTACTGATTACAGAAGGGGACGGTGCAACGGGAGAAAGGGAGGAGCAGACGGGACCATCAGCCATCAACCCTGGACGACAGAAAGGGTCCGAGACGGCAAAGGGAAATCATCCCGATCGAGGACGGTCGCGCAGGATGGGACACACCAATCAGCGCGATGCAGACAACATCATCACCACAATTACCACCACCACAGGCATCATCACCATCATATTCATCATCATCATCATCATCATCATCATCATCATCATCATCATCATCATCAGCATCACCATCATTAGCAAGACACATGAGCATCAGCATCAGCATCACCATCGCCATCATCGTTATCATCGCCATCATAATTGCAACCATCATTATCATCCGCATTGTCCTCACGATCATCACCAGTGTCATCATCATCATCACCACCATCATCATCATCATCATCATCATCATCCATAAACATCATCATCAGCATCATTACCATCATCGTCATCGTCATTAGCATCGTCATCACCATATATCACCATAATCAGCATCATCACCACCACCACCATCATCATCATCATCATCATCATCACCATCATCATCGACATCATCATCGACATACTCCTTGCGTCTGCTCGCGCCGTTATCACCGTCTTTGTCAACACCACCTCTTGCTCCACATCCGTCAACGAGCCCTGCGGCACCGAGCCTGGCGGTAGGGTCGTTATGCCTGGTAGTGCTAATGTAAGTGATGACTGATAAGGCCTGCGCGTACGTTTAACAGGCAACTACTGGGAGGTCTTCGTCGGAAGGACTAAGAAGAATTAAGCCCCATTGGGGCGCTACTACGCAGGATGAGGCTGCGGATAAAGCAGGATCAAGCCGGATTAAACTGGAATAAACCGGATTAAGCTGGATTGAGCTGGATTTCGGACCAGGGCAAAATCAGAATTTGACCTCCCAGGAGTTGCATCCGAACGTACGTCTGCGTGGACCCCCCTCAACCTGTTTGCAAGCGGCGGCGAATCACAGCTTCCGAATGTGGCAGGGAGCCTCCAGAGGGCGTCACGGCCCTGAGAGGGCCTCGACTCAACCTAAGGGCCGTTGGGGGAGCTCTGCCTCCCTATCTCGGGGGCGCGCAAACATGGATTAGCGATCCGTGGATTCGGCGCGCGGTCGCCAAATCCATGCATCGGGGGAGGTGCCCTCCCCAAAATGCGACCGGTGCCGCCTCGCTTGGCGGCGGGAATCCGCGATTTCCCATGGAAACGGGGCCCGTCACTAATCCACGCCCCCTTGATCCATGTTTGCGATCGCCTGAGTATCCCTCTCTCCCCCATCTTCTCGATCTCCTACTGCACGTGATGGTCTTCTCTCCACTACGGGGTGGAGCTGTCACATGCTGCGGCGCTCCGAGATCTCGGGGGGGGAGGGCTGGCGAGGAGACGAGGGCAGGAACGCCATGCGTTATGTCCGCCTGGCTGCCCCAGTAAGCAACCTTTGCGCATTGTGTTTCCCCCCAGTCAGTGATGATGATGATGATGATGATGATGATGATGATGATGATGATGATGATGATGATGATGATAGCGATTCTGATGATGCTGATGGTGATGATGATGCTGATGATGATGATACTGATGAGAATGATGCTGATGATGATGAAGCTGATGCTGATGCTGATGCTGATGCTGATGATGATCATCAACATCAACAGCAGCAGCAGCATCATCATCGAAGTGCGTGGCGCATGTTGCGGTCCTGAATGTCATAGGGGCGGGCCCTGTCGCATGTTGCAAGCTGGGCGGTGCTCGAATGGCCACCCTCATTCTTGCAATCAATGCTGACGGTAAGGATGCGCAGCAAGGATGCAAGCCTCTTGGAGGCACAGGTCCAAGCTTTCAGAGCGGGGCTGGCCGTCGAAAGGGGCCAGGGACAGACCGAAGAGGCAAGGATGCACTGGTCAATCCCTGTCCCTGCCATCGCTCGGACGTCAACTCCTCGTGCATTTTTAGGCTTCGTGCGCCTCATCTTGGCAAGATGACCCAGGATGCTCCTCGATGGTCCCCGACGGGGAAAACACACACATACACGTCCGAGCGGTGCCAGGCATCCTCCGTCTCGACTCTGTGTTCGACCAGCTTGCGACGCACGCCGACCAGGAGGTCGGCCCGGCCTTCGCCGCGGCGCAGCGCGCGCCTGCCGCGCCCCATCGCCCCCCCCCCCGGACGTCTACGGTGTAGAGGTGGTACATGGTCGCCATGCCCTTGCGGCTGGACGGTGCCGTCGGACCGAGGACAGACGACAACCCTCCGAGAGCACGAGGCCCTCCGCCGGCCGGAGCACACAGGGCATCCACGGATGCTCGGCACCCTCCCCGGGAGGCGCGAGAACATCCAACAAGCACGGAGAACATTAGGGCACCCTCCCCGAACCAGCCTCGATCCTGTACCTCGGTCCGACCGTAGACGGAGGGGCAGAAATGATGTGCGGAACAGATGGGAGAAGACGATGAGGACGGACGGGGATGGAGAAGTAGGGGGGAAGGGAGGGAGGGCGGGGAGGGCGGTGAGGGAGGAAGATAGGGAATGCGGACGGGATGAAAATGGGGAGGAAGAGGTGAAAGCGCGAAGAAAGGAAAAGAGGTCGTGGGTGCTGGACAAGATATCGAACCAATCGGCGAGGCGGCGCTTACCGCCACAAGGGGTGACTGATCATCGAATGCGCGGCTATAAATGCTGAGGTAACCTTCATCGAAAAGATATCAGGTCGACCCTGTCGCCACTCCACCCCTTCTCTCGCCCTCCCCCCCCTCTCCCTCTTTGCGCGCTCCTCCTTGCATGCTCGCAGTCCTGCTCATGCTCCTCAGCATCGTCATCATCACAATCGCAACCACCACCACCACCCCAACTATCATCATCATCATCATCATCATCATCATCATCATCATCATCATCATCATCATCATCATCATCATCATCATCGTCATCCACACCACCACCGTCATCACCAACGTCATCACCAACGAACCAACGCCATCATCTCATTAGCACAAACGGTATAACCACCATAACCTAGCTGTCAGGCAGCGTGGGCCCCTCAACATATGCTGCGCAGTCGATGTGGAGCAGTCGTCGTGGTGCAATCTATGCGGTACACAAATGGGTTGTGTTATCGATGTGTGTGATCTACGTTGTGCAATATACGTGGTTCAACATATGTGGAGCAATCTATTTTGTGCACCCCGTGTGGGGCAATCTGTATTGGGCACTACACGTGATGCAATATATGTGGTGCAATCTATGTGGTGCAATACGTGTTGTGCGGTGTATAATGTGCAATATCTGTTGTAAAATCTAGGTGTTGCAATGTATGTGGTGCAATCTATGTTGGGCCATCGATGTTGAGCAATAGGTGTGGTGCAATCTGCAAAACGCAAACTATGTTGTGCAATTCACTTGTGGAACTCGCAGTTGCCAAATCCACTGTTCGCGCAATCATCCCACCCACCCGCCCGCAACTTTGCTTGCAAAACCCATGCGGCAACGATTGCGATGGGTGCTTGGTGTTAGCTGGTGCATCTCTCCGGCCGCGTTAGCCCGCGCATGCTCGCGCACGAAACGGCCAGTTAGATTGGCGCGACCGACGCGGCCGCGGTGACGTTGACCGCAGGGCACATCCCAGCGGACACTTCAGTGCGAGTTCGCGACTTGGGCGGGCCCGGCATCATGACAACGTCGACAACGGTAGACGTGATGATAATGGTAGCGATGCTGGTGACGAGGTTGACAACGACGACGGCAAGGCCAGTGACGGCGCCGACGCTGATCACGCCGACGACGATGACGGCGTCGTCGCGTCGGTGATGAACGTTTTGGAAGGAATTCGACATGCGCGCGCGGCCGACGCGCGAGAATGGCCCGCATGGAATTATTTGACACCGATCGTGCCCCCCCCCCAGCACGCGCACAAGGGCTTTCGAATCATGTCGACATGCGGCGTGAGAGGCCCGCTTGGCAGAATTTGTTGAAAAGGTTAACAGCCGATGGATTTCTTAAGGATTCGTATGAGCGCGAACGACAGCTGTCTTGACATCGGTAACTGATGTTGCGAAGCCATATGACTGTTGCATAAACATGTTTGCGGGATAGTCGATTCTGAACCCCCGACGAAACCTCATGTGTTACGTAAACAAAAAATTCGGCATGCGCGCGCGACGACGTGCTCGCGTGCATGTCGTCTTTTCATTCGCAAGGGGTTCTTGCGACAACCCCTGCGCAAACGCGCTCGAGCGATTTCGACTTGCGCACACGCGAATCCCGTCTGGTAGCATTCTCTGATTTTTTTTGTAAAGTGATGGTTTTCTTACAGATCTGCAAGAACGCGAGCGCCGGTTTCTTTTGAACATCCTTGTTGCGAAACGGTGTTCTTTAAAGTTGTTGTGGCGCTCGGTTCTGAAATCCCTGCGAAACCTTATGTTTTTGAAAGATCTCGGCATGCGCGCGCGACGACTCGTGCGTGTGCACTTCGTCTCATTCGTTGCAAGGGGGCTCCTGGAAACTTGTGATTCTTGATAAACAAACGCGCGCGCATAATATGTTTGCGCGAAAATTGAGAGGGGTAACCGTTTCCAGTCTGCCTGTTGTGGGATGGTTTCAAAATCCGGTTGGACGATGGATATCCGTGGTGCAACCCATGCTGGGCAACATGCGCGGTGCAATCTGCGAGGCGCAACCTGCGTGGTGCAATTGACCTGTGGACCTCGCAGTTGTCAACTCCACTGCTCGCGCAATTATCCCACCCGCCCACCCGCAACTTGGTCTGCAAAACCCATGCGGCGGCGATTGCGATTAGTGCTTGGTGTTGGCTGGTGCGTCTCTGCGGCCGCGCTAATCCGCGCAGGCTCGCGCGCGCAGCGGCCAGCTAGACTGGCGCGACCGGCGCGGCCGCGGTGGCAGTGGCCGCTGGGCACTTCCCAACGGGCACTTCGATGGGCGCGGTATCATGGCAACGCCGGCATCGGTAGACGCGGTTGTGGGAGTAGTGGTGATGGCGACGATGGTGGCGTTGACGACGGCAAGGGCGATGACGGCGCATTGATCACGCCCGCCGACAACGATGATGATGTCCACGCGTCGGCGACGAAGGTTTTTGAAGAATTTCGGCATGCGCGCGCGGCCGACGCGCGCGAGCGGCCTGCGTGGTATTAGTTGACGCGGATCGTGCCCCCCTCCCACCCCCAGCACGCGCGCAAGGGCGTTCGGATGAGTCCGACATACGGCGCGAGCGGCCCATGCGGCAGAATTTGATGAACATGTTGAAAAATACCATGACTTTTTCTTCAGAATCTGCACCAGGCCGCCACCCAGGCCCAGACGACGGGCGGTGACGAGGCGGCGACGGGGCGGCGACGGCGGTCACATAGCCGCATATAGCCGCCAGACCGCCGCCCAGGTCAAGACAACGGGCGGCGACGAGGCAGCGACGGCGGCAACGTAGCCCCCAGACCGCCACCCAGGCCCAGCTCCTTCTGTCACAGATACAGAACACTCAAGTGCAAACACTGTTTGGGGAATCGCCCTCACGCTTCATGACCAAACTCATCACCATTGATCATTATCGTCCTCTCCCTCGTCCTTCTCACCCCTCCTCGTGCCGATTCCCTCCAGACGCTCTCCTCCCGTGCTCCTCGTTCTCCCCCTCGTCATCCGTCTCCCCACTTTGCGGATGACGGCACGGGCTCGGCGTTGGAAACGGGACCAGTGGCGCACGCGAGGCATCAGCAGTGGCGGGCGGTGCACAGCAGGTCGTAGAGGGCTTGCGGCACCTACGCCTGTTTTTCCTTCCCTTATCTCTCCTCATCCTCCTCCCGCCTCGTCCTCATCCTCCCACCTGGTCCTCCTCCTCCGTCCAACCTCCTCCCCCTCCTCCTACTCCTCATCGCTTCTCCTCCTCCTCCTGCTGCTGGCACTGCTGAAAGGATGTCTCCGAAGCAACCGCGTGAATTGGCAAGACAAGGCTGGGGGGCATCGCAACTCATGACGTCGCGGCACCTCCCAACGCACAATCGTGCTGCTGCAGGAAGTCGGCATACGGGTCCAGGGGGGTGAAGAAGCCTTTGGCCTCGTCACGTTCCTCGTCCCCAGGTAAGCCCCCCTGGACCCCGGCAGGACCATCTGCCAGGAAAACTGGCCGCGAGGAGCCTGCACAAAGCCGATGGGTCGGCTGTGACAGGACAAGTGCGGTTCTGACCCGCCCCGTCCCTCCCCACAGCCGCCAGGTGTCCTCTGGGGTGCTGACACCGCCCCGCCCCCTACCAACAACCCAAGCGTCGAGGAAGGGAAGGGACGTGAATGCTAAGAAACCTGGTCGGTTTGAGATACAGGGATTCAAACATGCACTGGTCGAGACGGATGGAGCAGGCAGGGGCAAGGGGCGCAACCCGCATGAGCTTGGGCAATATCCAACTCGAGGGTGCATCCGCTCTCTACGATACCTCGGGGTGTTCCATGACCGCACAAGGGCCTGTTAGATGGGCACACACAAGGAATAAAGCCATGGTGTACAGTAGCTCAATCCTGACTGCCACCTGTCCCCCCCCCCTGCGTCGAGAACCCCTTCTTCCCCCCAGGGGTGGGCAACGGAACGCGCGGGCTGCGGGCCTCTTCGCCTCGAGCCAGCACAAGAGGTGGGGTCGCGGGCCACGGGGCGGGCGGTAGACCAGGTCTCGCAAGGGGGGTCGCCCACAAGACCGATCGCAACACCTTGGGCCATAAGGCCCCGCCAATACCGAAGAGCGCTGGCCTTCCTGAGGTCGCCCTTGCCCCTCATCATCAGCGACGTCCAACGACAGCACCCAGAAAGGTTCGCAAAGGAAGGACGCTGCAACTGCGTGGAGCCCTCCAAGCCAAGCCTGGAGGTCAGGAGGGCGACGCTGCCCAGAGAAGAGACGGGGAAAAAGACGCAGGTGAAGGAGTCCCGGGGAACGGGGGTGGCAGCCGCGGCAGGCCCCCCTGGGCCAAACTCGCGCCCCCAATCGCATTCCAAGGCAAACCGCGCGATCGGCGCCTGGGGGAGGGGGGGGGGGGGGGGGGGGGCGGAAGGCGGGCCCGATGAACTGAAACGCGGGGACCAGCGCCTTCTCCTCATGCGCCCCACTCTGCCAGAGCTCCTTGCTACTCTTCGCATCCTCAACCTTATCGGTCAGAACCAGCTCCTCACACTCAGGGGGGTCACGGCTGCAATCGCGGCCAGGCACTTACGGCTCCAGTGCCTCGAGTGGCGCGCGAGCCTCAGACGCGCGCGGAGCTCCACGCCGCAGGCACTGCAACGCGAACCATGCGCAAACAGGATGGGCTGATCCAGCGAGAGGTGCGTCTTGGAAACGCGTGCCTCCCAAAGCCCTGGGGGTCCTCAAGGCGGCCTGGCACTCGCGACACACATGGGCAGCGAGGGCGGGGGGCGGGGCAGGAGGGGGGTCGAGCGAGCCCCCGCTCGGTGGCAGCCCCAGCGAACCCCATCCTCCACTCTTTGAGGTGACGCTGGCCTCGGTGCCAGCATCGCCTCGAATCCCAGGCTTGTCGCGCGAGCGTTCGGAATTTTAGTATTTTCGCGGGCCACTGGTGGGCGTGGGCCACTGCCCCCCGAAAACCTCCGGGGGAACACCTTCGAGCGCCCTGGGGGGTCCGAACTCAGCCGCTTCTTCGAGGCCCTTCCTGACGAGCTCGGTCCACGACCCCCCGGGCATCCAACCTGGACATCCAGGAGCCGGCGCTCGCTGCAGGCAGCAGGGCCGCCCGTGCCAGAGGAGGGCCTCTGGCGGGGCGGCCCCGCTGAGCACAGCGGCCTCGTCGGAGGCGGCCGCCCGTCACAGGCCCGCGCGGAGCGGCGCAGAGCCCTCCCGGCAGCCTCGACGCGCGCGGCAGCCAGTGAGGCCCGCTCGCCTCGGCGCGCACGGCGCGCCACGCCACGGGATCGCAGGGGGGGCCGAGCGTCGGGCCAGGGCGCGCGCAGACGGAAGCCTGGCGAGGAGGGGGGACACATATGGGGCCGAGCACACCCTCCTGCTCAGAGGCCGCAGGACGGTCTTGGCCGACTGCCTCCGGGCGGCGACTTCGGGGCCCGTGCCCCCCCCCCCCCTCGAGGATGGCCCCCGGGGACCGGTCCTGCCGCGCGACCGCAGCAGGTGCGCCAACATCTGGAGGCCACGCGCGCCCTCGCCTTTCGACGAGGAGCTCCCTCTCGGCCCGCCTGCGGGCCTGCCCGCGCAGGGCAACAGCAGACATGGCTTTGTTCTTCACGATGCTGCAGCGGAAACCCAAACCTGGCAGCTGCCCCGACAGCGGCGGCAACGCCAGCAGCAATGTCCAGACAAATCCGGTCGCTTCTTCGACAGAAGCACGGGTACATGGCACCATCTGCGCAGGTCGAGTCAACCAGCGGGACAGGGCCCCCCTGGGGCCCAAGAAAACCGCGGCCTGTCCCCCAGGGTCCAAAATGCAAAGCGCGCCGAGGTCCTGCAACCTAAACTCAGCATCGGCGTCGGCAAGCGCATTCCTTGGTTGACCCCCTGTCCTTGCGGGCGCCAACTCACTGACGCACTCCACTGTAGACCAGATGGACCTCTGGGACTCGGAAAACACGTGGAACATGTGGGGGGATCTTTCCTCAGGGAGGGGGGGTCACGGATGGCGGCAGAAAACGCTGGCACTGCCTAGGGCAGTATCTCGATAGTCCGCACGATGTCATCCATATCGGTATCTGAAGTTGGCAACTTAACCGCAAACTTGCGAATCGTGGTGTAGACGGCCGCCACAACGTCACAGCTAGGGATGAAGGCGGAGGCATCCCCCTTCTCCGCCTCGCGGACAGCGCATGGCAGCATGTGCGATGCGAACGACGTGCCTCGATGCTTCCTCCCCCTGCGCTGGGTGTCACGCAACAAGGCATCGAGGAAATTCCCGAGAGCTTCTCGGAGGAAGGCATCGTGCATTTTGTGGATCAGGTTCCTCCTCCTCCTCCTCCTCCTCCTCCTCCTCCTCCTCCTCCTCCTCCCCCCCCAGGGAGATCGAGCGGCAGTGCGAGCGCAGGGCCCAGGACCCCCTGCCCTTGCAGATCCCCGCGGTCTCCGACCTCTGAAAGGCAGCAGGCTCCACTCCACCGAGCGCCACCTCCACTGGGAGGGGGTGAGCCCAGGCGGCGGCCCTCTCGGGGTCGCACCCAAGGAGCTCTGGGACGACGCCGTTAAGCCCAGGGGCGTTGAACCTGGCCGTCCGAGAGATCTCAGTCCTAGCCCAAGCGAGGGTCGGAACCCGCTGCAGCTGACGTGGGTGACCCAGATTCGTGGCCTCCACGATGCAGTAAGAATCTCCACGCAAACGAGCGGCATCGGTTACCTTCGCATGCTCAGTAGTGGCCAAAGGGTCGAACAACAGCTTCTTCCATTCAGCCTCGGACGTCACAAAGACGCCTTCGTCGTTAGTCCTCATGGGTAGACACCGGGGGCCCTGGTGTCGCGGCGGGGTCCATCCGCGGTACCGTCATAGCGTCGTAAGTCCTCCCACATGCTAACTGGCTCGTTCCCGCGACTAGCTTCTGCCAGATCCGAGGCGAAAGAGCACGCGCGTCGCACGCAGCCATTCTCGATGCCATCCCTGGTCACCGCTGCCGCGGCGGCAAAGGAAGCACGGCAGCCCGCGAGAACATGGGGCACGCCCAAGCCCTCCCCGAGGACCCAACCCGACAGGACGGTGGCAAGGGCCAGACAGAGCTGGGCGTCCTCCCCAAGCTCGTTCCAGTAGGCTGCCAGATCCTTCAGGGGCCTAAGGTTACCCACCTTGGCCGCCCTCGGCGCCGACTGCACCCGCCGCCTGCGGCGAATCAGCCACATGGAGGAGCGAGAAACGTACGTCTTGTGGGCACAGCTTACCTGTGGCAAAAACCTTGGACGCTTGGTGCAGACTCTCGTTGGCCCTCCTGGCATGCTCCTGAACATCCAGGGCCTAGGGCACCGGCTCAACCTTGGCGAGCGCCTTTGCCCACTTTCTCCGACACCAGGGGTCAGCCAGGCTTGCCTTGTTCAGACGGGTCCTTAGCCTAGGGGGCGCCCAGAGGCAACGAAACACTCGAAGTGCGCCAGAACGGGGATGTGGTCCTAGAGCCCCGCTAGAAATTCGATGCTCGCCTTTTGCGAAACAAACGCCCACTTGTAGAAGGACGCAGCGCCCCACCCCCGCGCCCCGTATCTCAATGTTGCCCAACGAGTGCGCCAAAAGGGAGCGCGACGTGCTGCGAAATAAACGCCCACTTCTGTGTGGGGGCACAGCCTCCTCGTCAAGCCTTGAAATCTGGGGGTAAGGGGGGCGAGCTTTTTGTCGTCTTGTCACCGGTACCTGAGATGGGCGCTTATTTCGCAGACGACGGTGCTGCGGCCCACCTCTACCCCGCAGCAGGCGCCCTTCAAGTGGCCGTTGGCCAACAGATGCTCGATCCTCCGCGGCTCGGCCGCCTCCGCCACGTGAGTGTCACAACCCCCCCCTCGTGGGGGAGCAGGGCATCGAGGGCAGAGAAGCGTCCCTCGCGGAGAGTCTGGTGCAACGCCGCGCCGTTGCTGTCCTCCTTAGCTGGCGCGCCGCATCCACCGATCCACTCCGAGAGGACGGACCCGACTCGATCGCTTGCACCAGGGAAGGCCGGCGCGGACTCCCATGCCGCGACCTTCCCATCGAAGAGTCCCCACCCGGCCGCACGCTCAGCCTTGGGCCGACGGTGGTGTGGCGCATGGGCCACGCGCGCAGTTTCAGAGAGCAGGGGGCTCACGACCCTGGCAACCAGAAGTCCACAGACCACGCTTTTGTTGGCGGTCGTGGCCTCGCGCGCGGCGACGAGGCGAAGCAAATCAAGCACGGCGGCCGAAACCCAGGGCAGCAAAACACAAATAGACTTCTCCCAAGCGTGGACGACGATGTCTCAGCCGCCGTGCACACACACACACACACACACACACACACACACACACACACACACACACACACACACGCTAACCTGCGCCCCACCCCTGCTTTCCCCAACAACCTTTCCGCCCCCTCTCTTCGCCATCCCATCCACTGCCCTGCGCCCCCCAACCTTCAGGAGGATACGAGGAATATTTGTCCAGGCCGGGCGCTCCTTGAACGAGGGAGAGTCCTCGAGGTCGTACCGGTAATCGTCAAACTCTATGTTGCTGGCGGTCACCGCGGGGCGGTAGCCTTGTATCCTATGGGACGAGGTGCAGGAAGACGACGACGAGGGAGAGTTGAGAACAAGGGAAAAGGGACGGGAGGCCAGAGGGGAGGAGCTCGCGTGGCTTCGGAGCTCCCGTGAGACTTGGCTTCGAGAGATCCTTCTTTCAGGACGTCTGCCTTCAGGACGTCTGCCTTCTATTCAATCCCCCCCAAAGCTCCGCCATTCTGCCGCCCGGCTGCACACCATCCCCCTATCAGGACCCGAGATCGCTCCAAAATGGTGTCCAGAACGAGATCGAACTCGCCATCATCCCCAACACCATTTCGAAACCGACATTCGCTGAATGTTGGACTCTCATACTTAGGCCCCCATCGGAGGTCAAGCCAGCACCAGCGCGGGCCCGGATTGCATCAAATCCGGATCGGGCCAGGGCCCAAAGAAAGGATGCTGGCGCTTCGGCCGTCTGAGAACTTGTCCGGGGCCGTCTCGGACGCTACAGAGGCACTTTCGGACTCCATCTCGGAGCCCTCTGCAGCCTTTCTGGGCGTCTCTTGGGTGAATTGGGGCCGCCTTCTAGGGACACCAGGGATCCAAAGAGCGAGCCCCCATGCCACTTGCCCAGTTAGGCCGACGATCAGACGATGATCTAACCATCAGCCAGTCACAGGGAATGCCCGAGTCAACCCGGCGATGGAATGGAGGAGCAAGGGTCGCAGGAAGGGGTACGGAGCACACCTGCGGCACCGTCTTTCACTGGTCTCGCATGTCTTCGTCCCGGCTTGGGACCAAATTCGGCTCTTTCTTCTGGCGAGAACCACTGGCCGATCAGCGCGAAACGTTTCTCATGCATGCAAACATCCCCGAAGGAACGGCGCTCCGCAAGCCGTCCCGACGATCACAAGACGACCGAGGCAGACGGAAACCGAATATCACCTTCTCCACCTCCTCCTCCTCCTGCTCCTCCTCCTCCTCCTCATAGCGGGCTGCTTCGCAGGGGGCTTCGCCCCGCGAAAGCAGGTTTTGAATTCTGTCGGCCTCGTTGAGTCGGATCTACCCTGGGTCAGGGACCTAGGGGCCGCCTCCCTCCGAGCCTCGAGCAACGGCGTCGAGTCAGACTCGGAGGCTTGAGACTTTGGCTGATTGTCGGTGACGTGCTGGCTTCCCCAACAACCACCCTCTCCCCACTCCCTCATCCATCCATCCAGTCTCTTCCTTCTCCTCCTCCGTCATTCGCACGGTTCGGCCGTCCCCCTCTTGGCTCCCGCACTTCCCTGATCACCTCAGCTCGCCTGGACATCGTTCCTGGATGGGCTGGTGGGGATGTTTTTTGCTACGCGGGCGCGCGAAACGGGTCGAAAGCCGGGCGAGCAGGGGCAGGCTGTGCCACAGACTGCGGGAAACAAGGCGACGAGCAACGCCGGGCGCGGGGCGGGACCCAGGCGGCCAACATGGCGCGAAGGCAGCGCAGAGCAGCACCAGGAGCACGAGGCAGGTGCCGAAGCAAGTGAACTCGATGGCGACGAAGGAAGACCCGAGCGCCACACTTGCCCCGAAGGCGGTGGCGAAGGTGGCTGGTGGGGATACGCGAAGCGTCTAGAGTATCACTTTCTCTCTCTCTCTCTCTCTCTCTCTCTCTCTCTTCAGACGCGTTTCAAATGCAGCCTCCTCCCGGCGTGTTCTGCAGTCATCTCGGATTCGAGGGCCAGGCGCAATGACGGGTGCTCGCAGCGCAACCTGGTGGCCCCATGCTCGAAGTGCAGTGCTGAGAAGATCAGAGTGAGGGGGACGAACGGTCATTCATTGTCCCTGGGTGCGTGGCTGAAGTGCGGATCCCTGGTGAAGATTATGCTTGTTGTTGTTGTTGTTGTCGTCCCCCCCGCGACCCGGCCCGCGACCCGCCCGCGACCCACCAGCGACCCACCCCGTGACCCACTCGCGACCCACCCGCGACCCACCCCGCGACCCGCTCGCGACCCACCCGCGACCCACCCCGCGACCCGCTCGCGACCCGCTCGCGCCCCGGCCCGCGACCCACCCGCGACCCACCCGCGAACCACCCGCGACCCACCCGCGACCCGGCCTGCGACCCACCCGCGACCCACCGTCGACCCACTTACATTGTTTTAACAAAAAATCTGCGCCTGCGGCGGGCTCGTAGTATAGCTTGAACCTTTTTGCGCCTGCGGCGGGCTTCTCCAAGGCCTCGCAGACTGCCAACGTCCCCGCAGCCCCCGTCACTCCGATCCGCAGCTGCGGGGGGTGCTGCGCATATTGTTAACATAGTGTCCCGCCTACACTTTGGGCACGTTCGTCTGCGTCTCTCTCTCTCTCTCTCTCTCTCGCACCCCATCGGCGCGAGCACGCCGCGTCGAGCGCGGCGGGCGCGCGCAGCCCGACCACGCAGGGGCGTGGCGCCTCACGCGCCGTGCCCGAGCACCAGTCTCTCTCTCTCTCTCTCTCGCAGTTCCACCACGAATCCAACTAAGCACATGCACAGATGAGGAAGATGGAGCAGGCTACCCGCCGCTGCCGCCTGTCCCCTCGCGCCCCCGCCACGGGCCCCCGCCACGGGCACTTCTGGGCGGCGACGGCGCCGCTCCCGCCCGCGGCTCGCCGCACGGCTGGGGCCGGCGCCGCGGCCGCCTGCCGCGGCCTCCCCTCGTCGGTCGCGCGCTCCCCGGTCGGCCACACTTACGCGGCAACTGCCGGGCGCAAAACTGTGACATCGTGGCACGCGAGCTCGCTGCTGGTAGCTGTTGCTGGCTGCTGTCAGCTGTCGTTAGCTGGCGTTTGCTGCTGCGCCCCGGGCGCGAGGAAACATGTGGGAGGAAGAAGAGGAAGGAAGCGAAGGAGGAAGAAGACGATGACGAGGACGAACGCGGGGAGGAAAGGGAGTCGCGGAGGGGAGAAAGGCGGACGGCGAGGAGCACAATCAGAAGGTCAATGAAGGTCACGAGGGGATGGGGACGACGAGGAGGAAGGACAATCACAGGAGAATTGGGGCGAAGAGGAAAAAACAGGGAAGCCACCAAGAGGATGAGCCGGAGGAGGGGGAGTGGAGGACGAGCAGGGGGAGCAGGAAGGGCAGCAGCGGGGACAAGGGAAAAGAAGGACGGGGAGGAGATATGCGACCGGGAGCTGCGGGAAGAGATCGAAAGGAGGAGAAGAGGGGCGATGGAGGGAGAGAAGGGAATGTGCCAAGGAGCGCGGGGAGAGAGAACGGGGAGGGGGAGGAGGAGGAACAGGAGCAGGATGACGCCCCCATGGGGCCACCCTCGAAGCGCCAACGCCCGCCCGTGGGCGCTGCCGCCAAAACCCGGTTTGGGCCGGCCTCCCCGTGGCGCGGGGGTGTCTGTCCCGAGTCGCCGTCGTCGCCGTCGTCGCTGTCGTCGCCGTCGTCGTCGTCGTCGTCGTCGTCGTCGTCGTCGTCGTCGTCGTCGTCGTCGTCGTCGTCGTCATCGCCGCCGCCACCGCCGCCGATGTCGTCGCCGCCGCCGTCGTCGTCGCCGTCGGCGCTGTCGTTGCCGCGCTCGTCGTCGCGGTCGTCGTCGTCGTCGTCGTCGTCGTCGTCGTCGTCGTCGTCGTCGTCGTCGTCGTCGTCGTCGTCGTCGTCGTCGTCGTCGTCGTCGTCGTCGTCGTCGTCGTTACCGTTGTCGTTGTCGCCGCCGCCGCCGCCGTCGTCGCCGTCGTCGTCGTCGTCGTCGTCGTCGTCGTCGTCGTCGTCGTCGTCGCGCTCGTCGTCGCAATCGCCGCCTGCCGCCGGCCCGCCGCGGTTGTCCCATGCGTTGTCCCACGCAATCCCATGCGTAGTCCCGTGGAGCCAGTCTGCTCGAGTCAAAATACGAACAACGAACGCATAACAACACCGAACAACTGCGACATGAGAGGGGGGGGCGGCGCCGCCGACCTGGACAGTGGCCCCGTCCCCTCGCGGGAAACGCAGCGCCCGTAAGCGCACATGACCTCGCGGCCGCAGGTCGGCCAGCCGAGTCGCGGCGCGAACAAAAAGGACAGAGGCGCACTTTGCAACGGGAGGGGGGCGCGGCGCCGAAGAGCTTGACATTGGCCCCGTTCCGTGGGGGTAAACGCAGCGCGCGCAGGCGCGAATGCCCCCGAAGCCACGCGGGGGCTTGCCGGGTCCAAAAGCAGCAAAAATACTTCAGGATAAAGGGGGCACTCTGCGACTGGAGGGGGCGCGGCGCCGCCGAACTTGACAGCGGCCCCGTTCCATGGCGAACGTGGCCCGCACAGACGCAGACGCCCCCGCAGCCACGATTGGGCTTGCCTGGCCACGCGCAGCGCGAAGAAGAAACGCAAAAACAGCTCAAGGCAAGGGGGCGCTTTGCGACAGGAGCAGGGTGCGGCGCCGCCGAGCGCGACACTGGGCGCTTTGCGCTCACTGGAAAGCCGAAACAAAGCGGCCATACCAAAAAGGAGGAGGGGGGAGCAAGCGCGGGCAAGAGGCGAGGGAGGGGGAAACGGGCGGGGGGGAGGGGCGGCGAGAGGAGCAGAGGCCCGGCGACGAAAAAGGAGAGTCGCCGAGGAGGCGCGAACGCCGATACGTCTGTATAGTTGGTGGCCTGGCTAGGTTTCGAGCCCCTAAGGGTGGGGACGAAAACAACCAAAAACAATCGAAAACCACTGTGACTAGTTGACCTTGCCTGAAAAAAAAAACGCTGCGAGAGACCACAAACGGCAAAAAAAACAAACTGAGCTCGACGGCCACAAAATCATTGCACGCGCTACGCGCTCAGCAGCGGGCGGCGCCCGCAGCAGATCTTACAGCCTACCCCGGCCCAGTTGGGGGGGGAGGAGAAGCGAGGGGGACAGGAGGCGAGCGAGGGGGGAGGAGAAGCGAGGGGGCACAGGGGGCGAGGGGGCGAGAAGCGAGGGGGGGAGGAGAAGCGAGATTGCTGTTTTTTTGGATCGCACCTCGACCTGCCCCTCATCGCCCTCGCCGTCCCCCGACCCGTCATCGGACAGGCAATCCTCGTGCTGCGCGCGGACGCCGCTCACCTCTGGCGCTCGCGCACGCCTGTGCCGGCGGCTCCGGGTGATGGCAGCTTCCGTGAGTTTGCCGAGTTCGCAGTAGAGGAACTGCACGCCGCAGTCCGTCCGCGCGGCCAGGCTGCGGGCCCCGCCGGCCAAGGCGCGCAACCTCTCCTGCTGGGCCGCCGTATACTTTCGGCGCCGCGCCCGGGCATCCAGCGTCGACGCCAGCAGGCGCAGCTTCCGGCGAAGCCTGTGGCACCAGGCCGCAGACGCCCCGAAGTCGATCATCATGTCTGCCACGCTGCCCGAGCCCGTCTGGCTATTGAACGCGGGCCGCTTGGCCGCGGGTACGCCCGGCCGCGGCCCGCCGAAAGCATTCAGGCCCGATTTCGCGCCTGGCCCCCACAGCGAACCCGACCTAGCCTTCATGCACTCTTTGCCGTCCGAACACCAAGCAGGCCGCCGCTCCCGCGTGCTCTTGATATACATATCCAAATAAGAAAACGCATTTTTCCCCAACAGAACGCCCGCTGTGCTGCCGAGATCCATGCTCAAGTCTTTCCGGGCCTTTGTCTTCAAGCCGCCCTGGCCCGACACACGCTTCACGAGGGCAGCGATCCTGTTCAACTTCCCTGTGGCTAGCGATTTCTGTTGGGGTCTGCTTTTGTTCGCCGCTTGCTTGATAAAAGACTTGGTGAACAACTGTATGTCGCAACTGCCGATAACTTTCCGTGCTGATTATATGACCCGAGTGGCCGTCAAAGGCGGGCTCTCTGAAATCTCCGATAAGAGCGCATCTCTGAATTCGTGGCTGTTCACTACGGCTGGGACAGCAGCTGCTGCCACCATGCTGTCCTCCTCGTCTCGCGTCGCGGGCCAGCCGCAGACCTGGCGGGCCGGGCCGCCCGCTGACCTGGCCCGACACGTCTTGATCTGTTTTTTTTCGCCGCGGGCCGCCCGCAGACCTGGCGGCGCGCCTGCGGGCGTCGACCTCCCGCACCGAGCGGTGCAGGAAGGAGGCGGGGAAGCTGGCGGGCGGGCTCGGCCCCCCTCGCCCCCGGCACCGGCTGTGAAAAAACACGGGCCCCGTGGAGCGTCAGAGCGGCATGGCGCGGGCAGCGCTGCTTTGTCATGCTTTGTCCGGCGTGCCGGTGCGGACACAGCGCCACCGTGCTGTCTCATCCCGCCTCCGTCGTCGGCGTCCTCCTCCTCCCCCTTTTCACCGTCTCCCTGTTGCTGCCGCGTTGGCTTTCCGCCCCCCCCGTCCATCCATCCTTCTCCTGCCCCTCTTTCCCGCCCCGTCTTCGCTCCTGGGGCCTCCTCCTCCTCCTCCTCCTCCTCCTCCTCCTCCTCCTCCTCCTCCCTCCTCGTCCTTCGATCGCTGTCCTGCGAGTCGTGCAGCGCGCGGGCGTCCCACGCAGCTTGCGCAACGAGCGACGGCTCCCGCACTGTCGCTGTCCATGCAGATTTAGGGGGGGAGGAGGGGGGAGGAGGAGGAGGAGGAGGAGGAGGAGGAGGAGGAGGAGGAGGAGGAGGAGGAGGAGGAGGAGGAGGAGGAGGAGGAGGAGGAGGAGGAGGAGGAGGAGGAGGAGGAGGAGGAGGAGGAGGAGGAGGAGGAGGAGGAGGAGGCAGGAGGAGGCAGGAGGAGGAGGAGGAGGAGGAGGAGGAGGCAGGAGGAGGCAGGAGGAGCAGGAGGAGGAGGACCAACTCAGCTTGTCAATTGATGCAAATGTGTCGGGCACGTCGCAGGAGAATAGCCCTCCGCTCTCGCCGGCCTCGGGCTGTGGCGACGAGCCCCGTCTCCTGTTCGGGTGGCCCCGCGTGGGGGTTAGAGCAAGCCTGCGAGGGAAGCCCTCGTGCACTTCGACACCTCTGCTTCCTGACCGCTGGGAGAAGAAACAGGCTCCGCGCCATGCACTGCAGTCGAACGCTGCAGCCAAAAACTCCCCGTCGCTGCTCGTCGTCCTCGTCGCTCCTCCTGCCGCTCACTGCTCCCGTCCGGGGAGGACAAGTCGCTCGTCCGACGGTTGACGACGACGAGAGTATTTGTTTTTGTTTTCTTTATCTCTCTCTCTCCTTGTCTCTTTCTCGCGCTCGCTCTCGCTCTCTCTCTCTCTCTCTCTTCATGTCTGTCTGTCTGTCTGTCTGTCTGTCTGTCTCTGTCTGTCTGTCTGTCTGTCTGTCTGTCTGTCTGTCTGTCTGTCTGTCTGTCTGTCTGTCTGTCTCTTCCTCTCTGTCTCTCCCTCTGTGGGTGTATACATATATATATATATATGATTAGATTTGTATCCGTATGCATGTATATACTATGTTAGCCAGCGGGGCCCTCAAACAATGACTTGTTTGCCATGTGTGCCGTGCAATCTAGGTGGTGCAATACATGTTGTACAATCTAGGTGGTGCAACCTAGGTGGTGCAACCAATGAGGTGCAAAGCAACGCAATGCAACGCAGTGCAGAGCAATGCAACGCAACGCAAAGCAGTGCAAAACAATGCAACGACGCAACGCAAAGCAAAACACTGCAACGAACTGCAAAGCAATGCAAAGCACGGCAAAGCAGTGCAAACCAATGCAACGAAAACCAACGCAAAGCAAACCAAAGCAAGCAAAGCGACGCAGTTCAAAACAATGCAAAGCAATGCAACGCAATGCAAAGCAACACAAAACAACGCAAGACAAAGCAATGCAAGGCAATGCAAAGCAACGCAAAATAATGCAGACCGGCGCAAAGTAACGCTATGCAAAGCAAAGCACAAAGCAACGCACAAAGCAATGCACAAAGCAATGCACAAAGCAATGCACAAAGCAATGCAAAACAACGCAATGCAAATAAATGCAAAGCAACGCAACGCAATCCCACGGAAAGCAACGCAACGCAGAGCATCGCAAAGCAATGCAACGCAATGCAAAGCAAGGCAAACAAATGCAACGCAAACCAATGCAAAGCAGCGCAATGCCAAGCAAGACAATTCACGACGGGCGGCGACGAGGCGATGAAAGGACGGCGACGGCGAGCACGTAGCCGCCAGATCGGCAGGCCCAGACGACCTGCGGCGACGAGGCGACGAGGCGGCGACGGGGCGGCGACGGCGAGCACGGAGCCGCCAGACTTGTACGCAGGCCCAGGCGACGGGCAGCGACGAGGCGGTGACGGGGCGGAGAACGCGTAAGTACAAGCACTGTACATACCTATATGTACACACGACTGCAGTGGCGCTTCGCGCCATGCCCCTTGGTCCTTGAAGTTTGGTATGCAGGCGGAGTGGAAGGAAGGTCAAGCCGACAATTTAGCGATAACTCCTTGTTGCCTTTTCCGACATCGCCGATCTGATAATGTTAATCGTTATCCTTCAACCATGCTTCTATTTCATCACTCTCGCCATGCCCTGCGTATTCTCCCCATTATCCTCAGCTCTTTTTGCGGGGGCTCCTCCTTGGAGAGCCTCTGGGGGCCTCACAAAAGTTGTTCAGGCTTTCTTAAAGCCTTCTGGAGGCCTCCTGGGCGTCTTCTGGGGTCTCTAAGGGCTTCCTCGGGCCACCCTGTTTCCAACCGCGGTCTCCCTGAACGACCCGGTCACAATTTGGAATGCTTCGGAGGGTGTCTTGGGGACATCTTGGGCCGTCGTGGGGCTCTCTTAGGCCATCTTGGAACCATGTTGTGCCGTCTTGGGGCTCTCTTGGACTGCCTGGAAGCCATTTCGGATGGTTGTGGGGCGGTTTTCGAGCCCCCCAGGCGGCTTCGGACGCCCAGAAGACTGCCTTCTTGGAGCGTCGGGAAGCCGAAAAGAGAACCCCCAAGACCAGCAAACACCAATAGAAAATCAATGATGTTTGCCTCTTGGGGCCTTCTTTGGAGTGCTCTTGGAGGCCTCTTGGGACGTTTTGGAGCGATCTTTGAGGGTAGCGGCTTCTTGGGGGTCGTCGTGGACCGTCCTGGGGCTCCCGGGTCGTCTAGAGGGTTGCCCGAGAGGCCCGGGGTGGGCCAAATTCGTTCGGGGGAGGGGGGGGCTTTCTCCAGGGTCCGCAGCCCTATAAAAAGATAGGAATGGGAATGTATTCATATGTATATATGTGTGTGATATACAAACATGCAGACACGTTTGCTACAACGCTCTCTCTCTCTCTCTCTCTCTCTCTCTTGCTGTCGCAAGATCATGATGCGCAAATCCATCCATGAGAAGGGCTGCTCCCTGCCGCGACTCCCGCGGGGGTCCTCTCGGGAGGGCTCGTCGGGCCCACCCGCGCGTGCGTGTCAGTGAGGTGCCCGAGCTGCTCCTCGCGGCGCCGTGCCCCTGTTACTGCTGCGCGTCCTCGTGCTGCTGTTCCTGACTACCTACCAGACCACCCCAAACCAACCCGAAGACCCCAATTTCGGTTTGGGGGGGGAAAGGGTTCCATATGTGTTTTTTCAATGTTCCCCGACCCCCCCCCCACTGGAAATGGAGGGCAAATTGAAGCTTTCGGGTTGGGTTGGGGTGGTTTGGTGGGTGGGGCCTCTTGCCTCTTGCCCCATCCGCTCAAACGCTCTTGTGTGCGCGAGCACCGTTGGCCTGCACTTGCAACAGTCCCGTTCGTGGTCAGTACCCGCTCTCCTCGGGCGTCAAATCTGCATCCGCAGCCGCCCAGCAGGTCTGTATCCCAAACCAGAGGCACTGCTGGGAACTGGCTGGCACGGCAAAGCAATAGTGAACCGCCAATCCGTTGATCCGTGGACCTTCCGCCCAACGCGCACGATACACGATCCCGGGTCGAGGGTTCACGGGGCCCCCCCAGATGGCATGGGCCCCCGGGTTTCAGTCCCCCCTCTCCCAGCTGGGATTGCGGGGGGGGGAGTGGGGGGGGGGGCGGCGACGACGACGACGACGACGACGACGACGACGACGACGACGACGACGACGACGACGACGACGACGAACCACCCCACACACACACACAGGGGGAGGGGGGGGGGCACCAGCACCAGCACCCACCACCACGCCACGCCCACAAGGCTCACGACCACAGGGGTGGGCGGGAGGGGTCCCGCGCGCGGGGAGCCTCCACGAGGCTCGCGGGCGCACCCCTCCAGCGGGAGGGGGGGGCGGGGGGGCTCGACCCCACACGCGTTGGGGTAGGGGGGGCAGGGCGACCCTGGATCACACACATCACCGGAACCAACGCGCGCGCTTCGCGCACGCTGACGCTCTAGCTAGCTCGGAAGCCCCAGCACACCAAAGAAGAGAGGTCGTGCCGTGATGATTTAGAACCGCACGGTGTCCATATAGAGCCTTGGGTTCACACTGGGTCCTGGTGTGCACGCTCCATGGCCTCCCCTGGGGACGCCGTGGAGCTACCCAAACCGAAGATGTGGAAATACCGCAGGATTCCGAAAAACAGCAGAACACACGAATGCCTCGGGGCATGGAGTAAATATGAAGAACTGCTCAGCACATTTATTTTGCTTCCACTGTCGCCCCGAGTAATCAGTTGATGCTCACGCCGTCTGAAGGGGCAACACTTGTAAAGCACGGCCGTGGCCAATTGAGAAAATCTGCGCCGCGCTAGCTGCGCGTCGATCTAACTGCCATCGACAAGCCGGCGCGGTCAAAGTGGACAACCTCGGGCTGTGTGCACTGTCCGCTGGCGCTTGCGGGCCGCCCCTCGATTTCACCAGGGCGCGAAAAACCCGTTGGCGTTCGCGAGCACCGACCCGAAGAAGAGGATGGTCATCGAGATCACGTAGTTGTTCCCGCCCACGTCTCCCAGGCTCAATCCCGCGGGCGGCGGAGGGGTGGTCGTCACCGGCGCCCCGCCGAAGAACTGCATCTCGACCGAGGGGGCGCGCTGGCCCGCGCGGAGCCCCGCCGGGGAGGCGCCGACGAAGGACAGCGCGAGTGAGCTCACCAGCAGCGCGGCGGCAGCCGCGGCGGCGCAGGTGAGCAGCAGGGACGCGGAGCGGGCCATCGCTGGGCCTCGCGGGATGCGTGAGGGCGGTGCCGCGAGGAGTGGTCGGCGCTGAACGGCCTGAGCCGAAAAGGACTCGAGCCAAAATGGCTACGGAAACCTCCTCAGCGCACTCTTTGCTCTTTTTGTTGGGAGGGTGCTAAGAGGAAGGCAGAGGGGGACGAGTAAGCAGGAGAACAACGAGGAGCATGTAGGAATACGAGGGAGTGTGAGTGGTGGGATGAGGGTAAACATCCGCCGATCCAGCGTGTGAGTTTCTGAGAGCGTGGGCTTGAGCTCGCTCAAGCTTCGCTCTGCGGGGGGGGGACCTCATTTCCGACCTATTCCCGACCTAATTCAGTGCTTCGGGGGGGGGGGGGACCTCATTTCCGACCTAATTCAGTTGCTTCGCACCCCCCCCCTCCAGAGCGGACCCTTCCCCTGCAGAGCGCCCTCCCCCCCCCCTCCTGCAGCCCAGCCCCCCCCCCGCCCCTGCAGAGAGCGGACACCACCCCTGCAGAGCGGACCCCCCCCCGCTCCCCTGCACCCCCCCCCCTGCAGAGCAGACCCCCCCTCCTGCACCCCCTCCCCCTGCAGAGCGGACCCCCCCTCCCCCCTGCAGCCCAGCCCCCCCCCCTCTGCAGAGCGGACCCCCCCCCGTGCAGCCCCGCCCCCCTGCAGAGCGGACCCCCCCCCCCCCCCTCCCCTGCCACCCCCCCCGTGCAGAGCAGACCCCCCCTCCTGCAGCTCCCCCCCCCCTGCAGAGCGGACCCCCCCTCTCCCCTGCAGCCCCTCCCTCTGCCGAGCGGACCCCCCCTGCAGAGCAGACCCCCCCCCTGCAACCCAGCTCCCCCCCCGTCGTCGTCGTCGTCGTCGTCGTCGTCGTCGTCGTCGTCGTCGTTATCGTCGTCGTCGTCGTCGTCGTCGTCGTCGTCGTCGTCGTCGTCGTCGTCGTCGTCGTCGTCGTCGTCGTCGTCGCTCGCGTCATCGTCGTCGTCGTCGTCGTCGTCGCTCGCGTCGTCGTCGTCGTCATCGCCGTCGCCGTCGTCGTCGTTGTCGTCGTCGTTGTCGTCGCGTCGTCGTCGTCGTCGTCATCGTCGTCGTCGTCGTCGTCGTCGCTCTCGTCGTCGTCGTCGTCGACGTATTCGTTTTCGTCGTCGTTTTCGTCTTCCTCGTCGTCATACATTCCCACAGGCACCCGGAGCGCCCCGGATCGGCGGCACTGGCCGGAGGCCACTACAATCATGATGATGAGCAAGAGGGTAAGCATCAATGATGCCAACGGCGGAAGAGTCACCACATTGAGAGGGGCGATGTGGCCAAGTGTTCTGGAAACGCCTCGCATGAGTGGCCGGGAGGCTGGGGGGTCCATAGTGTCGGGGAACGCCTGGCCAAGTGTTGTGGCCACCGCCAACCAGTGAGCGGCTGGGAGGCTGTTCATAGCATGACTCCAGACATAGGGCGATTACTGACACCTGGGCGAACACACCTCGCACTTGTGTCCGATAACCAATGTAAAACTCACTCGACTGTGTGCTTGAATTATAGGGGCCCTCTTGGGCCGTCTCGGGGCTGCCTTAGGGCTCTTCAGGGGGCCCGATCAAATCTTCTTAATAACACTCTGGAGCTATCTTGCATCGTCCAGAGGCCCTCTTGAAATATTTCGGCCCTTTGAAGCTGCCTGGGGCCTCTCGAGCGGTCTTTTTTTTGGGGGGGGGATTCAGCATGCCTGTAGCTTGAGACCAGCAGCTGCGAGGGCACCCACCTGATTGGATGGCAGCATGCTTCGGCACGATCAACCACGTGAGACGACGTCGCACTTGTCGCGAGATACTTCTCGACGAAATCAACAGATTCACGGGTATCGCGGTGTGCAGGCAAATGTGCTTTGACACGCTGTACAAAGCCTACACGTGCGCAACAAATGCCAATTCAATATGTTGGCAAATGACCCATGCGTCCAAGGATGGAAAGAAAGACGCCCAACCGGAGAAAGATGACGCACTGGTGCGGGAACTGAGTAAACACAAACCAACAAACAAGTAGGGATAAACTGAAGAAGAGCATGGGACGACTCGCAGGCCCACAGTTCTGAGTTGGTACCTCGGTTACAAGCTGCGAAGGCACCTAATTACCAGAATGGCTGGCAACATGCTTCGGCACGATCAGCCAAGTGAGACGACATCGCATTTGTCGCGAGATGTCTTCTCACGGGAATAATCAAGTGCAAATCGGTGTGCAAGCACATGTTCCTGCGTTTCGAGCCCTCTTGGGGGCCTCTTGCGGCCCTATTCATCGGAATAGGCAATCTCCACTGCCTACCTTCCCCCCTGGTCGTCCGCGGAATGCGAGAACAGACGAGACGGACAAGGAACGGAGCAGACGATCGCCGGCCCCATAACTCTGGCTGCGGCGAGCGCACTTTTTGTTTAGCCAGCTGGCGTGCGCTGCAGGCCGATTGCAGACAGTGAGGAAGAGGAGGAGGAGCAGGAGACGACAGCACCGCGCTCCCCTCGCATATGGAGGCTTAACAACGACTGGCATGAAAAGATCAGCGCGCGACTGACCTGGACCGGGTCATCTGCGGGAAGAGAAGGGAGAGGGAGGCGGAGCGCGAGGGCGACAGAGGAAGAGTCCAGCGTCGATGAGCTGGCCCCCCCAACTGATGGGAAGGGGACTGCACCATGCTACGATTTCAAAGCAAGTGCTGTACAAAGGTCTGGAGCAATGTGCACTCGAATCCACAGTCAAATCCCTGAAAAAAAAACTGGCCACGCCGAGGGGAGCCGATAATTAGGCCAGCGCGCTTAGGCACGAATGGCATACAGAAGAGTCTCCGCATTGAGCGAGGGCACGAATAGGGCGAACGGCAGGTTCGGCTTCACAAATCCATCCAGCTTGCATGACTGAGCATGTGCCTCCTTGAATGTACACGCTGACGCAGCTGCCATGCTGCATGTCACTCTCCGAACTAAAGCAGCTGCAGCTTCAGCATGGGCGGCCAGGCCCCAAGTGTTCGCGCCTCGATCGACGTCTTGAAAGAACGCACCCGTACCAGAGAGGCACCCGACGCAAACACTTCGAAGAGGAATGCCACCGCAAGCTAAATAATGCCGTCTCCTGCCACGATAGTGGTGAGCCACATAGCAAAGAAAGATAGCACCTGTGAGAACAGCATGCTACACACTGTGAGAGCCTCGTCGAAGTTGTACTTAGTGGAGAGCACCAGTGTGAAACTAGTCATTGGCGACCACACCGATAGCGTCCATGTGAACCTAGTGTGCCTGCTGATGGGCAAGATAGTGATGACGAGCATCATGATCAGACAGATACCCGTGCGGATTCCATTGGCGACCAACACATCGACTGACATCTGTCTTGGATCCAAGCGCAGAAAACATCCCATAATGAAGAACATGAGCGGAGTGAAGGCAGCGGCATAGGTGCCGATGAATCCCTCCAGCCAAGGATGCAGGGGCACACCCAATGAGCTCAGCAGAAGCCCAGACAAAGCCGCTGCAGGAATAGGGCGGGCAACGCTTTGAGCAACTACCTGAGCAGCTAATCTGCACTTGCGGGTAACAATGCCTTCGTCGACGCACAATGCGACCTTATTCTCGTCGGAGAGCAGACCATTCTCCTGAGGTGGCTCAGACTGACGCTGCTGGGGCAACCATTCAAGAATTTGAACCTCCAACTCCTCCAAGCGAATGCCGCTGGTCTTCATATGGCGCTTGATAGCCTCCTCCGTTCGTGTGTCCCCTGGGAAAGTGTTTGATCGGCCTCTAGTCTTCGGATTTGTCTTATCGTTGCGCACGCACGGTCCAAGATGCAGCTGCTCCGAGCCGTAATTTCTGCCAGATGGATCGCGATGCACAGGATGTCCTGCCTCATGTGCAACACCCGCCTGGTCTTTTAGCTGGATTGCTATCGCTGTGTTTTCTTCGTCCGCGCCAATGGCTGTTGGCGACAGAGCTGATGTAGGGCAATGCACTAGAGCGGTTCTTGCTAAGCGACCGACAATGAAATCCTGCCAAACAAGACACATCCACATGTTTCCACCAATGTCCCATATGAGGGCAGGGCCTACGATAAGAGCGGCTACTTCGGGTGGAGCGGATGCTACCAACGGGTAGACATAGCCCAAAAAGCAACCCTGGGCAGTGAGAACGAACCACGCCCGTTTCTGCGCATCCTGCTTAGCGTGCACTGCATATGCCAAAACAGCCCACAGGCAATGCAACAATACACACCAAGGAATTCCAATAAGGAGCTCGTGCGTGACGCGTATACGCCAAGTGGACACAAATAATAGCGATGGAAGTGCGATGTTGAACACGAATGTCCGCAACCCCTCAACCGACGCTGTGCCCATGAGGCCTGAATGCTTAGCCAGCTGCCCCATTCCGATCATAG